GTATGACATAGGCACGACGTTAGCATATCATAAGTCTCAAATACAATAAGTATGACATAGGCACGACGTTAGCATATCATAAGTCTCAAATACAATAAGTATGACATAGGCACGACGTTAGCATATCATACAGTACAGTAATAGTAAGCATACCTTCAAAGAAGATGGCACACGTTTCTGGAGTCCACTCCCCTCGCCACGGTATCATAAACTCTGCCGCAGCCTGAGTCACCTTTCCATACGAGCCTGCCAGTAGTTGCAGCTCGTAGCGGCCGTGGGGGAGGGCCTTGACCACACGATATGGCCCGCGCATGCCCGAGTCGAGCTTGCCAGTCGCTTGGGTTTGCTTGATTACAAATACAAATGAATTAATGGCAAATAATCGAGGAGGTCTACGATCAGCATTTGCAGTTGTATCTTGTTGGTGCTGATTCTTTTCTAGTAGTTGACAAGTCCTTTGTCTATGCATCTCTCTCAATGCTTCACGATTGGGATGGGAATTTTCCAACGCGACATCTCGCACAAGATGACGAATGAGTGGTGTTGCAGCTTCAATACCCACCAGTAAATTCAAGGGTGATAATCTGGTAGTTTTCTGCTTCGCTATATTTAGGACCAGCTGTATTCGCCACATAGCGTCCGACCATTCTTTCTGTCGGTGATTGCACTCTATTCGAATCATATTAAGCAAAGTTCGACAGTAGCGCTCAACTTGCCCGTTAGAATGGTGCATTTCAGGGGTAATTAGATGCACATCAATGCCTAATTCTGTTACAAATTTTGTAAATTCTGAACTTAAAAACATACGACCACGGTCAGTTACAATTAATTTTGGGGTGCCAAACAAAGAAATAACATTAGTCAAAATTTTCTTTAGTTCTACAGCATCCTGACCAAACATAGGATACAAAACACAATATTTTGAAAATGCATCTATTACAATGAACACATATCTATAACCATTCGACTGAGGTAAAGGTCCTAGTGCGTCTACATGTATTACCTCAAATGGAACATCAGGTTTTTCCCATGAATGTATGAATTGATGGGGAGCTCTAGGTATTTTCTTGTGCGTTAAACAAATTACACAATGACTGATATATTTTTTGACAAACGATTTAAGGGAAGGAAACCAAAAGTGCTTTCGAATAAGTTCTAACGTTTTATCTACTCCCAGGTGATCATGCTCGTCATGAAAGATTCGAAGCAAACTCAATCTGTGGCCCTTTGGCACATAACATAAAAGTCTGGGTTGTTCTCCTACTGGAGTATATTTATAATAAAGAAGATCATTCAGTCGAAAATAATGACTAGAATCAAGCTGTCCGTCAACCAGTCTCTGAAGTAACTGCTGAGTCTCTTCATCAGCCGCCTGTGCTACTTGCGCCCAATTTTGGTGACGGCGTGCTTCGCAAATATTAACCGGGTTGCGGCTCAAATAATCAGCATGCGATAAAGAGACACCCTTGCGATATACCAGAGTAAAGTCAAAATCCTGCAAATATATCCACCATCTAGCCACACGTGGTAGTAAGTCCTTTTTCTGTTGTGTAGCTTTTAAGGCATTACAGTCAGTTACGACCGTGAAATGAACGCCGACCAGATAGTGTCTATAATTTTGTAGAGCCTTGACTACAGCCAGTGTCTCGAGCTCGTAGGAATGGTACCTTGACTCGGCACCTTGAGTTCGTTTGCTAAAATAAGCAACCACTCGCTTATAGCCCTTTTCATGAACCTGAAGAAGCACTGCACCATATCCAATAGAACTAGCATCCGTGTGGACTTCAATAGGCAAAACGGGATCATAGATAGCTAACACAGGTTCGCTTGTAAGTTTCTGGATAATATTTTGTCGTGCTTCTTCTTGTTCGCTACCCCATATAAAAGGAACACCCTTCTTCGTAAGTTTTGTGATAGGGGCAGTCATAGTGGCAAAGCCAGCTATGTAGCGGCGAAAGTAGCTTGCTAGACCCAAAAATTGGCGAACTTGTTTGACAGTCTTTGGAGTGGGAGCTGCAACTAAAGCCAGGACTTTTTGTTCGCTCGGCTGCACCTGACCCTCACTAATAGTTCGTCCCAAGTATTCTATTTTGGTGCATAAGAAGGAGCATTTCTTTAAATTAATGGAAAAACCAGCATCCGTCAGTGTTTGAAGCACATTGCGAAGAGTTTGGAGACCCTCATTGATGCTATTACTTAGTATGAGCACGTCGTCGATATATACTAGAACCTCCCCAGAATCCAAGTAAGGGCGAAGAGTTTTTGAGATTGTACGCTGATACACTATAGGTGCATTCGCTAAACCATAAGGCATTTTTAAATATTCATAGTGCCCTTCTGGTGTGACAAACCCCGTGAACGGTACCGAACTTTTATCAACGGGGATTTGATGAAATCCAGTTGCCATATCAAGACTGGTAAAGAATTTATGTTTCCCTAGTCGATCAATATGATCGTCGATTAGTGGTAAAGGAAAACGGTCCTTGACTGTGATTTCGTTAAGTTTTCGATAATCGACACACATGCGATCGGACCCGTCTTTCTTTTTAACTAGTAGGATTGGGCTCGCATATTCAGATTCAGACTCACGTATGATATTTTTTTCTAAAAGTTCTTTAATAATTTCACGGACCTTTAATACCTCTGGATAGGAGAGTCTATAGGGTCTATAATTTACCGGGACGTTGCTATTTAATTTAATCGTCATGCTACCAGTGTTTACGGTCGATGTCGCTGTCCCAGAGATAAAAAAATTCGAAAATTCCCTAATTAGATCTAATAGTCGGCTTAAATTGTTATCAATTAACGGCGTATTTATTGAAATCGGAGTAGTCGACACGGTACATTTAACATTATTTATAAAACGAGGTTCGCGTGTAAGATATTGTTGGTCGCAGGTGCGGACATATGTAACACCCTCACGATTCAATACATCAGTGCCAATAATAATAGGAGTGTTCATAAATTCGGGCGATACAGCATGTAAGTCAACTTCTAAAGTAATCTCATTAAACTCTATGGGTAAGGTGACAAAGTAAGTTGACTCAATTTCAGTACCACCAATACCTCTTAGGACTCTGAAAGCTGGTTTGCGAGCACACTTAAAATGTTTCAACAGAGATGATGAAATTAGAGATATACTTGAACCGCTATCTATCAGAATATCAACAGGAATTCCCTGTATCACTGCCACTACTATGTCTTTATTCTTATTGAAATCATTTTCCTGACAGAAATTAACATTATTTGTGTTATAAGTTAGGGATTTAGCCTTAGCAAAACAAGTTTCCATTTTATGACCCGGTTTTTTACAAAAATCACATGTAATATATCTACTTGAATTCTGAGCAGAACTATCTTTCTTACTTTGTTCATTGTTATTTTGATTAGAAACACTTTTAAACTTCTTTTGACAACGGGACTGAGTATGGCCGTGTTGACCACATGAAAAACATTTACCTTGCTCAAATCTATGTTTGCGAAGAGTAATATCAAGTTTTGATTTAGAGACATGCATGCTATTACTGTCTTTCTTACTATAAGTTGATGGATTTGATTTAACATATATGGAAAAATATTCTACCAAGTTATGTGGCGTTAATTTTGCATTGGTAGCTGAAGCACGTATTTGTGGATCTGTGATACCCCGTATAACTATTGCTGAGACTAGCTCATCACTTAACCCCTTAACTATGCGTAGTTTCAATAAGGATCGGCGAGTATAATCAGCGTATGTTGGGTATTTATCCGAGTTCGTACTCATGACCTCATACAAAATATTTGCTATATCTGGTTTTCGAGGGCACAAAGGTTTAAACTCTTTTTTAAAATTACTCCAACTGCGATCATTAGTAACCCATTCGTTGAGCCATGTTTTAGCATCACCTTTTAAACAGTTGCCAACACGAGATAGACACTCGTTGTCACTCCAATAATTTAAAACCTTGGCACGGTCAACTTCCTCACACCAAGTGTCCATATCGTTGATACTTGGGTCAAAGTTAGATATATAATATGATTGGATAGCTCTCACCGTGGTGTTAATTGAACGTATTGCATCGACAATCCGATCAGTCACGCTGGCATCATGGTCTGTGACGGCACTCACAGGACACCTCGGCGTCGGCGGAGACGACAGCACAGCAGACGCAGCAGAACCTCCAACTTCTGCCACCAACCTCCGACGCTCAGCTACCGACGCCGCCATCGATTGAGGCCGTGAGGAAGTCCGCATAGGCACGTCAGTGCTGGACTCACGTAACCGTGACGGCAACGAGCGGCGTTGTTCTTCTAGTGCCGCCAAACGTTCCGTGATTCGCTGCATCTGTTCAATTAGTACATAGTTATCAGAATCATATCTATTCGAAATTCGCTTGGTGTGTGACTTTAGGCTCCTAAGACTGGAATGACTATCACATGAGCTCGCAGCCCTTTTTCGTGAACGTGGGCTGTGATTCCTACGGCGACTCCTGCTTTTACGACTTTGCTTAGGCATTGTCTATACAATCGTTAACAGTAAGACACAGACAAATGTGAATAATAATAATAAAAAGAAAAAGACGTTAGTTTCAGTTGAGCAGCAAACTGTCCCAATCCCAAGACACTGGTTTAAATTCGTGATTAGTAATAACTAACGATCACACAAATTAGAAGCAGTTGTTACTGAAGATTGGAACGTACTCACCAAACTTTCCTAATCAGGGGACTCATAGGTATAGACTTACCATTACATCTCTCACACCACCTACCACCTAGTACTTACGTGACGCAAGGGAAGAGAAAACCATTACCCGATAAATTTAAAAGTCAAACTGCCTACTATTTCAGGAATGGAAAGCGAAATAATTTCCATGAAAAGTTATCGAATCCCACTTCTGATTTTAGGAACCAAAAAGGATGGGAAAATAAAACCGGCAACAACCAAAAAGTTACAACGATTATATTATATTGCGTAAACAGAATCATCAATTATACTGAACATTAATATGAGGTAAGAAGGAAAACATTACTGATTAGAAATATGCCTAACTAAAAACAGAATTATGCCAATTAACTTAAAAATAAAAAACCCGACCGATCCCCTTCAAGCACCAATTTTCTCTGTCCATTTTCCCCCCAAAACCCGAGTTGTCAAAACGCGTTTGACATGTCGCTCCACACCCAACCTTCCATTCGCCGCTCTACTTGTCGATGGTTCGGTATCTTCACTTTATTCATAATCTTCTAACACGGCCTCTCCTGACTAGAGCACGTCCTCGTGCTTCTGTATTTCGCGCTACCGGGACTACACCGAAGTCACCGAACGAGGCTCGTGGCTTGCGACAGCTTGCTCAGGCCTGGACCCCACATTTTCGTCATTTTCGTCTGCACCTAAGAACATAAAATAAAAACATGGCACGTTAATTTTGACTGGAAAGACATCAGCCCATATGTGGTACAACATCAAGTTCCTCTTAAATACATGTCCGCCTGACGTAGGCCCGACGTTAGCTTATCATGAATCTTCAACACAGAAGTTAGTACAGTGAACCATAGGCGCCACGTTAGCACAGTTCACACGACATGCTATGTCCGGAGGGGAAGCCCAACGTTAGCTATCTCTGTGAATAACAGTTACGTGACATAAGCACAACGTAAATATATCACGAATCTCAAACACATGTACGTACAACATAACTACAACGTTAGCATACGATTAATACACGAGCACTCGCGCTCGCGCACGCACGCACGCACGCACACACACACACACACACACACACACACACACACACACACACACACACACACACACGTGCCTCCAACACTCATGACATAGGCGCAACGTTAGCATATCATAAGTCACAAACATGTATGACATAGGCTCGACGTTAGCATATCATAAGTCTCAAATACAATAAGTATGACATAGGCACGACGTTAGCATATCATAAGTTTCAAATACAATAAGTATGACATAGGCACGACGTTAGCATATCATAAGTCTCAAATACAATAAGTATGACATAGGCACGACGTTAGCATATCATAAGTCTCAAATACAATAAGTATGACATAGGCACGACGTTAGCATATCATAAGTCTCAAATACAATAAGTATGACATAGGCACGACGTTAGCATATCATAAGTCTCAAATACAATAAGTATGACATAGGCACGACGTTAGCATATCATAAGTCTCAAATACAATAAGTATGACATAGGCACGACGTTAGCATATCATAAGTCTCAAATACAATAAGTATGACATAGGCACGACGTTAGCATATCATAAGTCTCAAATACAATAAGTATGACATAGGCACGACGTTAGCATATCATAAGTCTCAAATACAATAAGTATGACATAGGCACGACGTTAGCTTTTATTATGTGATTCCAAATTTCTGCCAAAACAAATGCAATCATCTAAATATATAAAACAATTTATATAGTTTAGGCCTGACATAGCAATAGACATTGTCCTAGAGAAGGCACTGGGGCTCGTTTTTAAACCCATTGGTAGGCGCTTCATCTGGTATTGTCCTGTACTTGTGGTAAATGATGTAATTGGTCTAGACTCTGGTTTTAATGAACATTGGTAATAAGATTGACTAAGGTCTAAATGTGAGTAGTATATAGCACCTGATAACGAGTCTAAAATGTCGGTAATATTTGGTAATGGGAATTTGTCATCTTGAATTACCTCATTTAATTTTCTGTAATCGATCACTAAACGCCACTTTTTAATTTTCTCATTATCTGACTTTTTAGGAACTAATAATATCGGACTGGACCATTCACTTTGTGATGGTTCAATTATGTCATCGTCTAACATTTGTTTAATCTGATTTTCTATTTCCGGTTTTAAACTATGTGGTAATCTGTATGGTTTGGTATATACTGGACTTACATTTTGTTTTAAATGAATTGTTTGTTCCTCTAAGTTAGTAGTAGTAAGCTTATCGCCGGGTAAATGAAATATGTCGGCATATTTAGAACAAATACTCTCTATACTGTTTCGTTCGCTTGTACCTAAGTGATCAAGTTTCAAGGTTTGCAACAATGTTGTTGCTCGTGTGGGATTAGAGTCACATTTATTAAACGAGCATACATTGTATTGTTTTAAAGGTAATAATTCAGGTTGAAAAACTGAAATAACTATATCTTTATCGCTGGTATTCATTAGCCTGATAGGTATTATGTTATTTTTTGGTTTTACTATCAACCCAGCCAAAAATAAATTTTCTTGTAACTCCTTCTGCACAATCACACTGTCTTCTCTCACATCTGAAGTTAGCTTTATGTAATGAATAGTTTCGCATCGTGCTGGTATTGTTATATATGCAGTACACAATTTGGGTGAGGTATGTAAAGGCAATATGCTTTGTTTTTCTTTTGTTAAAGTTAATATATTTTTCTCTAAATCAATAGTAGAATTAAAATTGTTCAAAAAGTCTAAACCTATAATTCCGTCAGATTTACAAGGTAAATTGTCAAATAAATAAAATTTATGTTCATAAAATGTTTCATCGGAAGCCTGCAAAGTTAAATAAACATATCCTTCTGAGTACGTCTTACCACCTATACCGTTTATAACTATAGGGTCTCTATGTACAGGTATCCGTTCCGATAAGAAATTACTGCGAATTGCTGATATTGAGGCGCCTGTGTCTAGTAACCATGAACATTTTTGATTACCTAACTGCAAGAATATGTATTTTACATTATTGTCACAATTAAAAATATAATGTTTAGGTCCGAAAAAACTGATTCGATTCAGTAGCTTCTTGTTCTTGTGGGTTTTCGACTTGTGCTGAACAAACTGGTCGATTATTACTCCTACTACTGGAACCTCGACTACGATTCGAATTTACAAAATTACCACGATACTGCCGTGCTGGTCGGGAATTATTATATCTCCAGTTATGATTATTTAAGTACTTACCTCTCTGGTTATAGTTGTAATTATTTTGTCCTCGATTCGAATTGTAATGTCCTCTGTTCATTCGACCTACAGGCGGGCGACTTATCCGTGAAGACCTATAGTAATTAAATTGGTTACCTCGCCTTTGCGTTGCATTAAAAATGTTGTTGGAGGACGAAGGCTGTCCCAGCTCTTCATCCTCGGCCGCACGCACCGCGTCCTTCAGCTGCGAGTAGTCCCTGGCTGATATGATCGTGCTTAGCCGCCTGTTACGCAAGCCATCTGCAAACCTTTTAATTGCAAGTTTTTCATTTATAGGTCTCAAAATCTCACTTGCTTTGGGGTTTTCGTCGCTTTGTGCGATAGTGAGACCTACAAATAAATCTGTCAATTTATCACCAAACTCACTTATTGACATATTGTTTTGAGATAAATTATTTAATTGGTTAAGTATCGAATTTGCCGATTTTTTAGTTAGTAAGAAGTTCTTAATGTCTTGTATTAAATTAGGTACATTGTCATATTCGCTTTTTAATTTTAACTTAGCAGATTTTGATAACCTGGTTTTCAATACAAATGTTATTAGTAACTTTTTCTGTGTAGTATCTACTAAATATTCATTATACATCTCAATTCCATCTATAATTTTTTCAATAGTTTGTTCTGAATTATCCATTACTGGTATTAAAGAAGTAGCGGTTTTTATATCGAATTTCTCCATGTTTGTTACAGTTGTATTTTCCTCGCAATTACTAGTTTTATAAGTCAAAATCCGTTTATATGTTAACTCTATACGTTCTTTTAATATATCATGCACATATTCTGCAAGTTCTACTGAAGTTTCTTTAGTTTTAAAACTACTAATGATATCTTTATATGTTAGAAATAACTTTTCAGCTTGTAAAAATTTTTCATTTACATTACCTGCATATTGTACTCGTCTAGTAGGGCCCAATTTTCTTAAATTAATTTGAATATCATTCAACTTACTTAAAATAATTTCTAAGTTTTGTTCCATATAACTATTTCACTTAAAAATATAGTTCATTTTTCCATTGATTGAAAACCGTATTTCCATTGATTCACGCATATTTCTCATAGACGCAGAGAGCACCGTAGCACCGAGCACCCCTTCAAACTGGTTCAGCTTCTTCATCCGGTCTGCCAAATCTTCCCGAGAGTCTCTGTCGCATACGCCTTATAAATTCAAAGTGCATCTTTCTTTCCATCCATTTGCGTTCATTTTTCTTCCATTTCTGACATCCGAAGTATATAACAGCCATAATACCAATAGTCAAGGCCGCTGCTAAGAGTAAGTTGGTCGTCATCATGTGGTTCTGGACCTCGATGTCCTCGTAAATCGTTGCTTTATTGGGTCCTGCTGCATTTTGGTTCAGAGTGAGTTCTTTGTCTTCGGTTTTAGAGTATGATTTTCCCATTTTACGGAGTATAAGTACAAAAGGAATTTGAGTACGGTAAGTTCAAGTTTTGATGTCACTGAGTCTGATCACACACAATCTTGATGCAGCAAAATTTTTGGAAGTGGAAAGTTAGCATTAAGTAGAAATAAAATCACTTTGCACACTATTGTTCTTGGCGAAAATCACTTTGCACGCTTGTACTTGTTCTTGGCGAAGCGTTATTCAATTGTTCAAAATCGGTGCACCGAGGCACACAAGAATCCGCGGCGTCAGCGTTCGCCGGCCACCCGACACTCGCCCACGCCATGGCAAGGCAGGGTCGCCATGAGGTGTGGGGTGCTAGTGTAAAATAAAACAATACGTCTGTCTCGTTTCACGGTGCTCTTTAATCTGACCCACTAACTACTAACTACAATAAGGTATACCCCACTTCAGCAGTGACATTTCTCCCATTTAAATGTGCTGTCAAATCTGCTTGTAGGGGACTATTTCGTTTCAAAAATGTTGTATTTATATTCTTTATTTTTACTTAAATACTTCATTTTGGTATCATTTATTAGGCAATTTATGGCGCTGACGTTTGTTGCTCCTTGGTCACAAACTGTTACAAGAATGTCCAAACCTATGGACTTAAGTTTTCTTATAATTGTTTTTGTGACGGGCCGGCTGATGTAACCGTGGTCGAGGGAGTGGTGGAACAGCTGAAGCGGGAGCTCAACGACAGGGATCAGGAGCTAATGGCGAATGATCTAGTCATAGCCAATTTACCCGAAACACCAGCTAAAAACCCAGTACATATGGTCAAGGCTATCGCCACCAAGCTGGGTGTCTCGTTGGATATTCGTGACATCGTGTATGCGGAGCGTGTTGGGGGACGGCATCTCAAGCCGACGAGCCCAACTAAACCGGCCGAGGTTCGCCCTCGTGCTGTTATGGTCCGTCTGGCCCGGCGAGACCTGCGTGATGACATCCTGGACAGCGCGAGTGCGGCGAGGCGCCACAACTGAGGACTTGGGTATCACCGGCTCGGCTCGCCGTTTCTATATAAACGAGAGACTGACGAAGACGAACCAGGAGTTGTTTCGAAAGACTCGTGCCGCCGCCGGTGTCCACGGCTGGCGCTTCGTGTGGACGAGGCGGGGACGCATCCTGGTCCGCAGCAAGCCTGGGGACAGGACATGCAGAATTGCGACTGAAAGGGATATCCAACATATTATTGGTCAATGTGCGGATTAATATTAATACGAAGTGCAGACTTCTTATATATTTGTTGTGCGTGTCCTTGTGTACTATTTGGTGAATAAGGAAAATGTATTTAGATAAAATAAATGTCTTTAA